AACTTCATTTTTTTTCTAATACAAAAATGAACAACTTTCGCGTTGGCTTTAGTTCTCCTAGTTCCGCTTCCCTCTTGCAGTCTGGTGTTTCTCGGCAACAGGCAGCTCAAAGGCACATCCCTTGAAGCATCCCCCTGCGGTGCTCTGCTTTTATTTCCTGTATGTCTTCGGAGTTTGATGTCACAGTCCCCAGAATCTGGATCTGTTGTGGGGTGGCGATTATTCAGGTACCAGCTGAAATAGGGTCCCATCTACTGATGGTGCTGGTGGGGTCTGACCTTGCTCAGCTCTGAAGTCTGAGCCCAGTGTGCAACAGGGCAGCAGTCCAGAAGCTCTTGAGTGGCCATGTAGCACTGAAAGTGGCTTTCTAAGGCTATCCTTCATGCAGGCCAGAGATGGCAGGCCGGTCGCCGCAGACCCAGCATGAGGCAGCTTCTCCTACCAGCTCTCTTGGCTCTGCTGATTCCTCCTGTCCCGAACTCCTTCTCATGCCTTCTTTGAGACAAGCGTGAGGGTCCTTGGGGACAGCAGATTGCCGGCTGTGATCTACAGGGGTCTGGACACTTCGGGTGGGTTCTTCACCCCTTCCAACCACTGGGTGCTTCCAGGGCCACACCCACTTGCTCAGGGTGTAGCCACATGACTTGGGCATTTGGGGAGCTACAGCTTTTATCCAGAGCAACAAAGAGGCGCTTGGGCTTCTGCACCTGTTGGTGTTCATACGCTGCCTGTGGCCCTCAGCGTTTATGAGGAAAGGGGAATGCTCACCACAAATCTCTTCCAAATAGATGTGGAACACGTTGTTTGTGTAACAGACAGGCCACTGTCTGGGGTAAATATTCCTTATGGACCATATTTTTAAAAAGGCGGAGAAAATCATGGAGCATTCCTGGAATGCATTTGCCACGCAAATGTTCTGGAAAATGGCCTGAAGAACATGTGGAAGGCTGTGGCTTCACGTCTGAGCCAAGGAGACGCCTTCAGCCCCCGCTGAGCCCATGAGGGTGGCAAGCATGTCTGCTTTACCTCGGGGGACAGCGGGGTGAGACTCGGGGCCGGAACAGACATCCTGAGGCTCAGTCGTGGTGTGGGTCAGGGTTCATGTGAGCGGAGCAGGGCTTTTACTTCCAGGATTCGTCAAACCTCAGCAGTGCCGCAGATGGCCCTGAGCGCAGAAGGCTGCGCTATCAGGGGGGACCCCTCTGCCCTGTCCTTTCTTCACTGTGTCACCTGTGGCTTTGGCTGCTAGAACCAGGTCATCATGGGTGGGCAGCTACTGTGGAGCCTCAACCCATGGCCAAGGCAAGTGGGGACCTGGGTGTGCTGGCCAGGTAAGAGCCAAGAGCCCAGCACCCAGGCGGGGCTCAGGCGAGGGCTCTGGACACCACGTGCCCTCCACCCCCACCTGCAGGAGCAGAGCGCGACGGCCAGCACCCACAGCCGCAGCACATGCATCTCCCACGGGAGCCAGATCCGCAGGGTGCCCAGAGCCTCCCAGGCTCCACTAAGATCGATAGTGGCACTTGCTGCTGTGGCCATGAAACTTTTTCTATCTTGTGCGTGGCTCCTGCTGGGCCTCTCATTGCCTCTTCCCTTGGAAGGACTTTCCCCAGCAACTGAAGAAGCCAACTATTCAACCATCTTGGATTATCCCAGCCACGACTCAATGTGGTGAGCTCCGGGATGAGCAGCAACTCCAGAAGCCCTGGCGCTGCTCCAGGCAGAGCTGGCCCTGCAGCAGTGCCCACCCCAGACACTTAGCTGGACACATCTCCTGTTCCCAGTGCAGGTTCTGTTCAGAACAGAAACAATACACACGCTGTCTCATGGCCCCGAACAGCCTGGTGGCCACTGTCAGCAGGGACGTGTCCTCACTGAGGGAAGAGCCCTGGCTGTTGGCTGGGCACTCCCTGCCCTCTGAACATGAGCTCAAGTCTAACATTTTAAATATTGGTATTTTCTAAATGCCACAGGCAAGGACTTAGCCTTGTTTGTGGAAAATAAAACTAAGTAAAAAAAAAAAAAAAAAAAAGAGCCCTCCGAGACCCTGGTCAGGGATTTATACCCGCTTTACCAGTGTGCATGGTTTAGCACCTGCTCAGGTCAGCAGCCGGGTGCCTTCGTGGGTGCAAGCCCACACCTTCACAGACAAGTGTTTTTAGAAATTCATTTTAATGAGAAAATCCTGCTCGACGTAGGAAATCCTGTTTTCTGTTTTAAATCGTGTTCCCTGAGGTGGGAGACATGGACAGAAAGGTGACGTCAGCTCTAAGTCAACACAGCTGAACCTTTCCGGCCCTTCATTCAAGCCTTCAGGTTTGCTCGTGAGGTCAGCTTAGCAAGTTATGTTTGAGATGCTGCCTGGCTAAGCCGTGCTACTGACTCCTTCCCATGCAAGGCTGCAGGGCTTTCTCTGAGGCCAACAGAGACACGTGTCAAGTACTGGGGTTGTCATGCAGGATGCAGAGGCTGCTGTGAGGCTGAGGGATTATCCCAGACAAGACTGTTCTTGGCTGTAGTTGGGCAGCGTTTGGAAAAGTCTTTATACCAGTTCCCCCACTGGCTCTCACACCACGGAAAGACTATTTCCTAGACAGTGCAGTCTGAGAAAGAGCAAAACATCCTCAAAAGCTTTGTATCAGTCTATTATCTGTTGCTGTAACAAAATACCTGAGGCTGGATACTTAATAAAGAAAAAAGCTTTATTTAGCTCACAGTGTTGGAGGCTGAAAGTTCATAATAAGGCAGATCCATGTGTTTGGTCTTTGGGGAGGGCCCCTTGGCTATGTCACATCATGGCAGATGACATCACGACATGAGGAACAGATAACGTGGTGGGGCAAGAATCCAGAGTTTGGTTGACTCCACAGATGCAGAACCTGCAATATGGAGGTTTGTGCACCAGCATGGTTGGTGCAGGGCTTGGCAGATTCTCTAACTTGTGCCTTGGAAAAGCAACCAACCCCACTAGTGTGTGCCAATCAGACCTTCTGTCACCAGACATGGTGCTTTGAGTTTGTGTCTTTGTAATCTTTAAAAAACTTAAAAAAAAAAATTCCACTGTATTGCTTCCATACTGTACCATTATTGTTTGAAATAATATTTATGGTAATTTTTTTCTAACTATACTTTAAAAATATGGGAAACTTTAGGAAAGTATAGAGAAGAAAATAAAAATGTTCAATAATACCACCCCTCAAAATAATTGTGAATCATTGCAGTTATTTGCCCATTTAAGTATTTCCTGTGATCAGCTGTTCTTGCGTTAAGTCTTCTTAACGACTAATCACAAATCTGGCAGCTGGGCGGGAGGGGGTGTCACAGGAGCAAGTGGGCTGAGCTGTGAGGACAGGAAGTCCTCCTGGACTTCCAATGCCATCGGCTTTGCATAATTACCATCTTCTACTTCAATACAGTGACCTTGTCACCAGATCCCTTTCTTTCATATATACACTTCCCTGCATTCCACGTGCCCTCTGCTTGGTGACAGTAGTGATGACGGTTCCCATGGGCACAGCTGTCTTCCACCACAGTGGACCATTGGGACGTGAACTTTAAAGCCTTCCACAGCTAACAGAGCAATGTCAGAGAACATGGCTGGCCTTCAGTGTCATTCACAGACCCTGACTTCAGCATCACGTGACAGACACTGATGACTAAGGGCTTTGCCCAGTGTCGCTGCCACACCTGGGCCCTTGGGGTCCTTGTTAGGTACCCCATGTTGCTCTGTGGCAGCCCAGCACTTAAATCTGAACACACACCTTCATTCTTCCCTTATGAACAATTCCTTTAGTGTATCTTGTAAGCCCTTCGCTGCTAGTTGGGAAAATACTGCCTCTACATTTGGTCAAGTTTTAATTCTGGACGGATTTCTTGCTTTTCTCTTCCTTTTATACCAAGATTCACTGTTTTCTCTCTGAATTTTCTTGGTCTTGTTTACTTGTTTCCTTTAAGAATCTGTGGGCTTCTAGAACTCAGGATTGACGCTGGGGCCTTGGGACGAGTGGCCAGCCCAAGGCCCTTGCCCACAGCGAGTTCTCAGTCGCCCCGGTGGACCTGGCACATGTCAGAATGGAGAGTTAGGAAGGGGGATCATCCTGTGGGGCTTGAAGGAGGGGAGGGGGTACAGGATGACAGCGGGAGGAACTGGGCTTGCGGACTCAGGTGCGGGCAGGTGGCAAATGTCAGACCACAGCCGAGAGCTGAGGAGCTGGAACTGGTTTAGACCAGTTTGTTCGACTGCAAAGCGTGGACTCTGCTCTATGGTGGTTTGTGCAGGACAGTGACACAGAGGGCCCTTTACTGGCTCCTGTATGGGGCACGCGTTTGGAGGGGAAGTCTTAGAGGAGCAGGCGATTCTGAGACTCAACTGTTCCTTCACCAAACTGATGAATTCTAAGTATCTGCCCAGTGCCAGGTGCCCAGGGGGACCCAGCAGCAGGTGCCATGGTCATCCCTGCTCTTGCGGGGCCTGTGCTCCAGGGAAGGGAGGAGGTGGCAGCAGAATAGACAGTGTGCACTCATGTCTCCACCCCCACGTGCTTCGGGGTGGCCAGTGTTCAGACCCAGTCAGATTCCTGTGCCCTTCAAGGAAAACCCCCTGTCCTTGAAGCTCAGCCCATTTGCTCCTGTGACACCCTCTCCCACCCAGCTTTTGCTAGAATTCCAATAAGAGTATGAGTCCCCTGTGAAGGCACCTGGAAAGTCCAGGTTTCCTTTTGATAAACCCTTTCAGGAGTTGATGCTCGGGAAGTCAGGCTTGGAAATGACCAGATGGGAGCGGGGCTGGGGAACTATGTGGATGAGCCCCCTCATGCAATCACAGCCTGAACTGGGCTCCGTTTCCCCGTCACTTCCTCCAGGGTGGCACAGGCTCCTGTGTGACTCCCAGGGGTGTGGAAGCCAAGGAAGCCTGAGATGTTTCCCCATGTGTCCTGCCTGCACACAGAGTCCTGAAGTCCCTGTGGCGCACTCATGACCTTTTCTTGTTCTCTGGCCAGGAATCTTACATCTTGTCTGCAGAACTTGAAGAACAATGTGAAGCCATAGGCAGGAAGCTGCTGGACTTGGAAGATGCACTTCACACGGCCATGCACAGTCACGACGGAGAGCTCATTCATATCCTTGCAGCTTGCGGGTTGAATACCTGCAAGATTATTTTGTAAAAGAAAGTCTTAACAGTTGCCTCACTTCTCCAGGCCTCAGCAGGTGGAAGCAGGCGGGGCTGCTGCTTGCCCCGTAGTGCGCCTTGGGTCTGAGGCGGCCCGTGTCCAGTATTTTCTCTCTAGTCTTTGGTAAGCCATCCAATGTTTTTTTGATTATTAAGTCTGACCACTAAAAATTAGCCACTGAGGCCAGACATGCATGCAATGAAGCCAAAGCAAGGTGGAGTTTCTGGGGAGTGCAGAGCTGAGCTGAGTGGCCATGGGGAGTGATCAGGGCCAACTCTAGACGGGCTCTGGTTTTTAAGAGCTTTCCTAACTCCCAGAAACCAAACCCACCCTCTGATTTCTTGGTTCCACCATTCCGCCAGGTAACGGGGCTACAGAGTATCCAAACTAGCAGCATTTTGGATTAGTCCTTCTCAGTGTCTAACCAGGTACACGGGGTTAAGCTCAACCAGTCCCTTCTAATTCCTAGCGATAGGATCTTCTCACACGGCTCCATATCCTGGTGTCTCCTCTGTCAAAGTTGGCTGTGGTGAGCAAGGGCAGGAGGACTGTTGGCTGGGGCAGGTGTCCATGAAAAGCCCTGTGTCCCAGGTGATCCGTGGGGCTGTTTACCACTGGCTAGTTCTCTAGGGCAGGTGGAGGGTGCACAGGTGGATACAGTGATGTGCAACCCACCCTGCATGTTTTTGGTGAGTAAGTGTTATGGACACTTTGTGGCTAACGTGCACTTTTCTCTTCATTTTGTTCTTTCTGTTCAGGATTGTGACTTTTATTAGGTATTTTAGGTGGCTTTTCCTCTCTGTGACCAGAGGGCTGACAAAAACATCATGGAGGAAGAAGAGTTTATCTGGCTCATGATTTCAGAGGTTCAGTCCACGTGGCTGACTCTGTAGCTCTGGCCCGAGGTGAGGCCGAGCATCGTAGCAGAAGGGCGTGGAGGAAGAAAGCAGCTCAGGACATGGCACCAGGAGGCAAAGGGAGCCCCGCTAAATGCATGCCCCAGTGACCACCTCCTCCAGCCACACCCTTCCTGCCTACGGTTAGCACCCAGTTAATGCATCCGTGGATTGATCCATTGATTAGACTACAGCTGTCATAATCCGGGCATTTCACCTCTGAAAATGAGCTTTTGGGAGACAGCTCACACCTAAACCATAACTGATGTGTTCATGGGAAATTTAGCTATTTGAACTTTCCTTCTTATTACTGTCTTCCTTTTAAAATTCCAGTTCTCACCTTACTCTGTGTGTGTGTATGTGTGTGTGTGTGTGTGTGTGTGTGTAAATGATCCTGAATGGGAAAGGATTCATCTTAATCAAAAGTATTCAGATCTATGGTTTCATAATAGATCCATGTTGTTCCTTCCTTGCTATAGCTTTAAGTCTTTGACCTTGCTTATTAAGCTTAGCAGGGTATTTCTTTAACTGAATCAGCAAGTATTCTAACACTGTTCAAGGTAGATTTCTAAAAACTGATGTTCTGTTCCTCACAGTTTCCTGCCTCTTACAGAACTAGCCTTCCCTCTGTAGCCTGGTTGGGAATAAATGCTGGGAAGGTGCCTTTGGGCCTGCTCAGAGTGGCACCCAGTGTTGGGTGAGACGTTATGCCCTGAGACAGGACGCATCTTTCCTGGCTCTCTGCAGCCTCCTGACAAAAGAAATGAGGGCTTATCTGGAGATTCCAGGCTGCCAGCTGAAGCCCAACTGGTTAGTTTTCATTCTTGATGGGCAACCCACTGCGAGTGAGGCTGGAGGAAAGCACTTGCTGCCCACGGCAGGGAGAGCTGACCACGAGCCACCACGTTTGATTCCTGGACTCACTGCCAGAGCTCTGTGTACGTGGTGTGCACACAGAGCAACTGCTGCAAGCCACACAAGGGTGTAGCTGGTATAGGCCAGCAGAGAACACTGTGTCCCCTGCGCTCCTGTCCACGCTCCTGTGGAAGGCGCTGGGTTCTGCCTAGGCCGAGCGTGTGCACCACAGAGTGTTGGCAAGTGGCCAGCGAGTGATGGGCAGTGTGGTTGTGCACAAGCAGGTTCTCACACATCCTGCTCTGTGTCAGGGCTATGGACAGCCTGCCCCTGGCCTCTCCCAAGAGGGCACTGGACTGACCAACCTGAGGAGGGACAGGGATGGCCACGTTTCCTCATCACCCTGAGGCCCACTGCCTCACATGTGGCAGGACTAAACATCCTGTTAGACACGGCACAGTGAGCATCCAACAGAGTCTGTGTCATTGACCAGGAGAGCAAGCAGCAGAGAGGGGCCACTCTAGCAGCAGAGGAGAGGACGGGAGCTGAGACTTCACAGCCTGCCAGCTGGGCTTCCAGGAGCAGCCGTCTCAGCCCCAGGACAATTTCACAGTCATTTTGTGTCCCAATTAGCTGTTGCATTTTGAAGAATCTTTTGAGCATGTACGATGGCTTCTCCACGGTCAAGGTGCAAACTGAGAACCCTGCAGTGCAGGGGAGCTGAGCAGGGAACTCCCCATTTTTCTCCTTCAACTGTGGCAACACACTATCACAGGAAATGAAGCTCACCTTGGATTTGCACATTTGGGGCATCTTGCAAAGCCCCCAGGGCAGTTCTGCCAGTCTGGGTCAGAGACAAGGTGGGGACAGCCTGGTTCTATTTGTGGTTGCATTTACATCCGTGTCTAGGAAGCCCTGGCGGAGTTTTGTTCCTTGCTGTGTGGAATGTCTGGCGCCCAGTGGATTAGTTTCGGTGGTGCTCAATGGTGTGCAGAGTCTAAATGCATCCAGACTCGTGCAGAAATCCCACAGCTCTCCTCTGGTTCAACTTTCTAATTTGTAGCGTGAACAGACCAAGGTAGCCCATTGTGGGAGCGTGCCCTGCCCTCTTGGACACGCTTTCTGCCTCTAGGGCTGAAAAGCTGGAGGGGGGAAGCTCAAGGACCCAGAGCTCACTCACTTCACCGACAGGAGGACTATACAGGGCTGGTGGCCACAGTGCTCCCCTGTGGCTCCCACCTAGGCCTTGGGGTGAGAAGAGCTGGGGACGACAGCGTGGAGAGGGGCACACTTTGGTCTTGGCATGGTGTAGGCAGGTCATCCAGTCCCTTGGCCCAGGCTCTGGAGTGGCCAAGGCTCTCCTCCTTGCCCACGAGTGGCTGAGGTCCCTGCTGCTGTCCCTTCCAGGTGGTTCCCCAGTACCACAGGCCACAGTGGATACAAGAGGAGCAGTGTGGCTTGAAAGAAGCCGTGGAGCAAACCTCTAGCAGCTTCAAAGCCACCCTCTGGCTCCTTTTGGAACCAAGCCAGGTCAGAGGAGCAGGGGACCCACTTTTGACTTAGCCATGAGTGCCCACTAGGAAGCCCCAGTGACAGAAAAGCTCAGTGCTGTCCTATAAAAACAGGACTCCACTGGACAGTGGCTGCCCTCCTGACAGTGCCCTGTGCTCCTGGACCCCTTCACTAGCACCTCATGGCACGTCCCTGCCTGATGAGGGTGGTCCTGCCCCAGGTGCTAGAGCATGGCCCTGGGTCAGGGGCGTTCTGCAGACTGCAGTGCCAAGCCCTGGGCCATGATTAACTAGCCTGCTCATTTTCTTAGATACTGAGCTACCTGGTGGCATGTCTGGGGACATTCAAACTCAGCCTCTAGGTTCCCGGGCACAGGTCCCTGGGCTAACTCAGCTCCTAGAGGTCTGCCCCCACCCTCATTCCAGTGCAGCAAGCACCTAAATTACAGAGGCCTCAGCCGTCATTCCTGCGGTTGGGTCCAGCCCTTGGACAAAACTCAAGGTCACACATACCAGAGGGCTTCGACTCTGAGCTCGGTGGATTAGTGAGCAGAGACTAGCTTCTGCTGCTCGACAAACCGAGGCTCCTGTAGCAAACAGGATCATTCATTTTTCTGAGAATCAATAAGGAAACATGAACTCATTTTTGTGCAAACATGAGGCTCAACACACCCTCCATGCCCATCTCCAACCCCTGCGCCTCCTGTCACAGCTCCTCGTGGCTGGCCGATGGGCTTCTCCAGCTCTCCCCGTCCAGGCCGAGCCCGCTGGATCCCACAGGTTCGCTGCTCAGATTAAGATCAGGTGTCCCTCTTGACACCACGGCTGTGGGCTGCATCATCAGGCTAAAGCCAGAGCCTGGCTACTTCTCAGCGTCATTGCTACTGCCCTGTGCAAGCGGTGACCACTTTTCCCCTGCACACTCGATACCAGCAGCCTCTCCCTGCTCTCTGTGCCTCTGCCCGGCCCCTCTGCTCCCAGCTCACCTGGAGCACTTAGTCTTCCTGGGCAGGCTACCCGCCCCTCAGTGTCCCTTTCTGCTGGACCAGGACAGCAATCCTGGCTCACCCTTGTGCAGCCAACAGCATTTCTGAATGCATGGCTCGAGTCAGGCAGCATTTGAATATTTGAGTGACAGAAAGGAAAGATGAGAATGTGGACCTGAGCTGTCATCTCTCCTGCGTGCTTTACAGGAAATGTTGCAAGTGGTTTCTTTTATAAACGTGCTGATTTAAATAAGAAAGCCGTGCACATCCATTGTGAATATCACAGAGCTGCGGTCTCCTTCCCAGGGCCACTACCTGGACATGGTGGTGACCTCCTAAAATGCCTTCTAGCTGTCAATGGCTTATCACTGTAGTCATTGCAAAATTAAGATTGTTCCATAAAATTGTTCTGCAATTTGCTTTTTCTTCCCCCCTTGCTCATATTTTATCCTAGACTCTCTTCCATTTCAGTACATCCAAAATGTGCTGGAACTCCCATCTGGCAAGGAAGCGTGGGGCCGGGTGGTTAGAAAGAAAGATCTTGTAATTGGAAACATGATTTTAATTGTTCTAATGGTTACTATCTCATGGGAGGCTTCCAGGATTTCTGGGGTCTGGCTCTGCCCTGACAGAGCAGAAGATATTTATCACATCTCTCTCTCTCTCTCTCTCTCTCTCTCTCTCTCTCTCTCTTTTTAATATATACTTTTATAACTTTATTTATTTATTTTTTATGTGGTGCTGAGGATGGGACCCAGGGTCTCACCCGTGCGAGGCGAGTGCCCCACCACTGAGCCCAGCCCAGCCCTGTTTGTTACATCTCTTATCTTAGGAAGTAAACGTTAACTCGCTCACAGAAGGCACTATACTCTCACCAGGGAGGAAGCCATTTATTTTTTCAGTCCTTGCCTGTGAGAAAGGCACAGGTAGTTTGTCTGCTTCATGATGGGGACAACCAGGCAGTCACCGTGTTCTCAGCTTCCCTGGGAGTTGCAATCCTAAATCCCACCTTTCTGACTCCTCAGTGTTATGAGGACTTAGGTTTCACTCTGCCTCCATTCCAATTTGCCTCCTCTGCCGAGTCATCCTGGACTCCAGGAACACAGGTCTGATCCATACCTTCTTGCGATGGGTGGAAGTCACACCCTGTCCCCAACAACTTTCTCACTGCCGCAAGCCCCGCCCACAAATCCTGAGACGTGCTGGACAGACCCTGTCTGAACCAGGCCCACAGCGTGGGCAGCTGTGCAAAGCCCCCCTTGCTCTCACTGACCTCAGAGTCCTTCTGCTACCAGGAGCTTTGTCCTCGTCCCCCATGCCCATCCACTAGTGAGGACGAGGCTCTGTCAGCAAAGGGGAAGCACAGGAGACTCCTGTCCCAGAGGCTGTGGTTCCCCCATCAGGGGGAACGGGGTTTAAGGAGGTGATTCAAAGGCTATTGCAGGTGTTCTGTGCAGAGCTGGGGTTCACTTGTTAATCTGGGAGATGGTCATGTCTGAGATCTTCTGGTGCCATCCCCGAATCTGGATCACTTGGTCCTGTGGGGGGCATGTGCTCAGGACAGATAACTCTGCCCAGGATGGAAAGACGGGGGGTCCTGTTTTCCCTTCCCCGGGTTAGGGAGAGGGGAGAGGGGAAGAGAAAGAACCCTGAACTTTTTGAAAATGAGCCTCAGCAGCAGAGCAGCCAGTGCTGTCCAAGCCTGAAGTGGACTGCGGTTTCCCCTGTGGGCCTGGAGGACAGGCCCAGGCCATGGCCCACAGCTCCTGTGGCTGCCCTGACTCCACCTTATCTTAGGAAGTAAACCTTAAATCTCTCACACAAGGCACTATACTATCACCAGGGAGGAAGACATTTATTTTTTCAGTCCTTGCCTGTGAGAAAGGCACAGGTTTGGTTTTGGGGTGGGTGGCCAGACCTGGTTTGCTGGATCCCAGAGTTGGCCGGGCCAGAATGCAGGGGATGAGGGTCAGCAGAGAGCGTCGTCTGAGGGCCGTCCGATGGCTAATGGGGCAACAGTCACTTCCTTTTGCAGCTTTTCTCTCTTTATACTTTTCAGTTTGTTCTGTCAGTGCCTGAAGTTTTAAAGAAACATCACATTTTGGTTTAACTTCTCTCTGAAAACCTTGGTCCTCACTTACCAGATTGCGAACATTGGTGTGTAGTCCAGGCTGCATAGCCGAGGTGATTAAGTCCCGGGGTTCCCCAGGATCACTCTTTGTGGTCAGCCTGACTTCGTGCTGAACTCAGCCTGGTATTTGTGCTGGGCCTACTTACGCTTTGGCTTGCATGAAATTTTCACTAAAGATGAGTACAAATGGGGGAAAGCAAAGCTTCTTTCAAAAAAAAAAAAAAGAGAGAGAAACTGGTTTTTTCCTCTCTTGCTTTCCCAACCCCACTCTTGTCCCCCCTCAAGTTCAAGTGCAAGTAGTGAGCCTGGGTAGAAAATGTCTGTGAATGACAGGCGAGGAGGAACCCGGGGCAGTCGAGAGCTACCTGGAGCTTGCAGGTGGCTGGGCCCTTGCTTCTGCTGGGGAGGCTCCTTGGCATATCCCAGGTCCTCTGAGCTCCTTGTTCTAGAAGGGTCACACCCTGTGGGTGTCACTCTTTCCTGCGCTGGCACTGCTCCTAGGTGGAGCAGCATTGCAGGCGGTGGCCTGTGAGCTGTCAGCCCTCCCTGACAGCCTTCCCCAAGCTTCCTCCACATCTCCTCTGGAATGTTCCAGCAGCCTGACCTCCTGTGATGATTTACCCTTCCCTTTTCCTCTCTTCTCTTCTTTCTGGTACTGAGGATTGGACACAGGGGTGCTTTGCCACTGAGTGACATCCCTAGCCCTTTCTATTTTTTATTTTGAGACAGGGTCTTGCTAAGTTGCTGAGGCTGGCCTTGCATTGATGATCCTCCTGCCTCAGCCTCCTGAGCTGCTGGGATTGCAGGAAGTGAACCGGTTTCTTAACAGAAGAGCCTCATCTGTGCTGTTCTCTGATTTGCTGAGTTCTTTGTTACTTTTCTCTATATGAGAAACAACTCTATAAGTAGAAAATCAGTTTAAGAGCAACAAACAACCCAGAAAAGGCCGGTGCCTGTACTCCATCAAATCTGGGTTCCCTGCAGTTACCTGGGAGTAAAGCAACAGGGCATCAGGTGAGATCCCAGAGCCATTTCAGAGTCATCCCTGAGAAGCCAGGTTTAAAGATTTGAAGGAGACCAGGCTGGCCAGCAGTGAGCAGGGCCCAGGGTTCCTGGTGAGGAGCTGGTCCTGTTTAGGCCTCTGTACTTGTAGTGGCCCCAGGTCCTGGATTTCTTGGGGAGGCTCTTTTGTCAAGCATCCTTCCCTTTCTGCCACCAGGGCTCTTATGTCTGGCAGTCGCCCACCCTGGCCTGGGGCTCCCCAGCCTTGTGCTGGTAACCACGTATCGCTGAGCATTTGCCCTGCCATCTGTCTCAGCCTGGGCACCGACTCTTCCTTCCACATTTCAGAATTGTGCTTCAGATAGTTAATAACCTCAGGCCTCACAGAAATCTCAGCCGTTGTTAAAAGAAGTGTAAAATTTGTATCAATATTTAATTCCTACAATTTGGAAGAGCTCGGAACTGCAATTGGATGGCTCCATCTGCTCCAGGCGCTGGTTCTCGGAGGTCTCCGGGGGTGGGGCTGATCACCTCTCCTGCTCCTTAACAACTCACACAGTCCCTCAAGGGAGAGCTCCAGATGGTGAAGGAAGCACTGCAGGCCATGATCCTGCCGCTCCAGACAGCCACGGAGGAGGCGGGAGGAGGAGAGGCAGCGGCCTCCTGCCCAGCAGCTGGTGTCCTGGAAGAACAGCCTGAGGGCAGGGGCCGGGAGGAGGTGGGCCACTCTGTCATCAGGGTGGACTCAGGCTCCTGCTCCCGGGGCCTCACTGATATGCCTGGAACAGTCGTGGAGACGCAGAGCCTGGGGGTCTCCCAGCCGGGGGGGTGGTCGTCCATTCTCATGAGCTGAATTGGGGCGTCTGCAAATTGGAATACTGGAGTGGGTTGCTGATTTTCCTTCTGAATGTCACTTAGAGGTTCACCTCCATGACATTTATGGGTGTGTGCTGCACAGGATTTGGAAATGTCTTCATCTCCACCCCCACTGGACAGGGGTTAGAGGGAATTCTGGTGGAAGAGTGTCTGTTTCCCAGTTTCAACTTGGACTCTGCTGCAGTTAGAATATTTCATGATTTAAGAACCTGTGGAAAGGAAACCAGCACAGGCCTCAGGACATCTGTCGCACTTCCCTCCACCTTATCCCCGAGAGCCAGTCACCCCAGCCGGGCTTGGCTGGTCCTCCCCTCACTCCCTGGACTCCCCTCTCCCCAGAGAATTGACCTGAGCTTCCAGGCTGGTGCTCTTCAAGGCACCAGCCTCAGCAACTGCAGCTTTGGGGGTTTTCCTGGCAATGGGGGCACCTATGGAGAGGATGCCAGTCTGGACCTTTTGAAGTTCACCATGGGGCAGGGACTGGGGCGGGGACGGGAACCAACCAGGAGATGTGGGCCCTTTTGAGTCTCTCCTATTTCCTGCCCAATCTGTTTCCTTCTGTGATGGGAGAATCCGGCGTGGAACCCTCTGAGCAGGGCAGACCAGGCGGGAGACCAGTGCTCCACCCTCCACCGCAGGCCCCTGGGACTCCCGGGGCACCTGCATCGCATCCCACGTGCACCAAGAAAGGCGCTCCAGAGAAAGGCTCTGAGAACAAAGGTCTGTTTGGTCAAGATGCCAGGCCTCACCCCTGTGTGGACAGGGCAGCACACCTGACGTGGGCCTGCGAGTGCCAGCAAGGAGCCCCTCAACTGTCTACCCTGAGCCTCCCACACTGAGTGCATCTGTCCACCCCCCAATAAACCCAGTTCCTTCCTCAGTCACGGGTGGTGCAGCTACGCTCTCTGGGGCCATCCTGGTGTGAATGTAGACTTGGGTCACGTGCACATTGACTTGTGCAGAGCTCTGAGCCCCGTAGCCACCTGCCACGGACGGCAAGGTCAACCGAGCGACGACTGCTTCTGTGCATCTCTTTTTTGTGTCGGGGACAGTGACCTTCCCGCCTTCACCAGGACCCAGGGACGCACAGCAAGTTTTGTCATTTCCTGGCCACGCTGCCATTTCTGTTTGCTAGCCTTTCCGTGCATGGGCACCCTGGTCCTCAGGCAAGGATAAGGCCCTGCTCTCACCAGCGACTATCCTGGGCCCAGCAGCCAGGCAAAAGCACAGTCTGTGGACAAGCTTATTGTGTGTCCTGCAGTTTTATCCTGGGTGTTTTCAAAAGTATATTCTGCATATTTGAATAATAGGTGTAATTAGTTTGTTCTTGGACTCAATTTTCAATAATGGACCAAATCCCTGAATTATTTATAATCGTGTCTCAAAAAGTATCATGAGCTAGTCACGTGGCACGGGGATTCTTGAATCCTTAACGTATTCCAGTGAGGCAAAATTGAAGAGTCAGGACTAGCCGTTTTGCCAGGAACAAATTCCTACTTTGACAAGTTTTTTAAACAGCCTCCCGGGCTCAAGACACCTAACAGGCCCTGGCCTGGGTGTTTTGTGTCACTGACAGCCTGTGAAATGCTTCTGTGAGATTGCGATGTATTGGAAGATTCCAGAAACTAATAACTTCCTTGAGTGTGTCTCAAATAAGGGCTCCTTGGTGCCTCGGGGATGGGGTGTTCCCTCCTGGCTGAGGCTCTGGGCCAAGCCCAGATGTCTGTGACCACGTACTGTGCCTGCGCTCCAGCTGCTGCTTGGTCCTGCATTGTCACCCAGGAAAGCTGCTAGGGCCAGGTGCCCCCTCTGGCCATACTACCTCCTCATGGCAACCCCTCTCTGTCCAGCCACACCAATCCCAGAATACCTAGGACCCTGCATCCCTATCCACACTACAGGACGGGTTATCTGATTCCTTTTTATTTTGTACTGGGGATGGAACCCAGGGCTGCTCGTCCACTGAGCTACGTCACCAACTCTTTTTATTTTTTATTTTGAGACAGGGTCTTGCTTAGTGGCTGAGGCTGGCCTTGAGCTTGCCATCCTGCTGCTTCAGCCTCCAGAGTAGCTGGGATCACAGGTGTGCACCACTGTGCCCGGCTACAGAACAGGTTTTGACAGAGCAATGTAAAAATAGGCAAGGAAGGTTAGAACGTGGACTTAAAAGCAACTTAACAAAAGTGGAGATAGCCGAGCCCACAGCAAGTGGCCTTCTGATGGCTTAGAGCCTGATTACATTGGGACGTGTCACCAAGACGTAGCAGGAGAGAGGAAGTGACATATCTATCACACTGCCACCTGCCGGCCCACTGCCCTCACAGGGCCTCCAGTTAGAGCACGTTCTCCATCACAGTCAGGGTTCCTTCCAACATCCTGGCATTCCAGGGTTGAGTTGCCCCTTCCCCAGATCAAGTGGATGTGTCATACTGGAAACGTCTTCCTCTAGGGCAAGCTGGGGTCCCCCCAGAAACACGCATGGGCGGCTCCACGCTCAGCCACCCTCATGGCAGCCTTGGGAGGACATCTGAGGGTGACAGAGGCCCAGGAAGATCCCCCCAACCCAAGCTGGAGGAGGAGGAGGGCTGAGAGCGAGGGGCCACCAGAGGCAGGCGCCTGCTCCCAGCTACGCCTTCCTGGTGCCGCACTGTCCCTGGGCACTGTGAGACTGGAACTTGTCTGTTCACCCAGTTAAAAGCACACTTGCACCCTGAGAATCCTGACCAGAGAGTCAGAAACTGGAGGAGACAAACCAGCCTCGTGGGCCCAGGTGAGCCCCCCCATGCAGTCAAGGTTTGGACAGGGTCAGCACCCAGAAGCCCAACTGGTCCTGACCCAGAGCACCCACCACCCAGGAACAGCCCCTGGCTGCCCGACACCAGCAGGTGTTCCTGACAACCCTCCCAGGACAGGGGTTCTCCAGAGAGCGTTGTGAGCCAACTGTGAAACCTACTGTGGAGGAAGCAGCCCATGCCCTATGGTCAGTGCCTCCCGTCTGCATCCACCTTGTACAGCTGTCCATGTCCTTGCCCTGTCTAATCTGTGAACTTGGTCATGTAGCTTATTGCTCCTGTAATTTTCCCTTTCATTTCATAAAAGTAGAACTGATATGTAAACCAGGGTGCTGCTCAGGGTTCTCGTCTTCTGCCCAAGGTTTTCATCTTCTGCTGTGTAGACGACAGGAAAACACCAGGTTTATTCAGCTCGTCTTTGGGTTACAGGGTGCTTAACTGCACTATTCTTCTCATCACACCAACCTTTGTAATAAAGCCATGCTTTAAAACTGGGTCCATGTGCTTTCAAATTCCAACAGATCAGAGGACCATGGACCCTTCTACCCTGGGCCCTCAGATAGGGAAGGTGGCATTAGCACTACAAGATATGGGTTTAGCCCGCGACCAGCGTAGGCTTCATGGATGAAAGTTCCAAATGTGAGAAACCTCTAGGGAGTTTTGAATTAAAGAGACAAGACTCTAATTACTTTTAAACCAGCTCTAGGATGGCTCCTCCTAGCTCCAGCCTCAAGCTACCTATTGTGGTAGCAAGGTTTACGAAGAGGCTAACAAGAGAGAGAGAACACACCAGGGAGTGGACTTTTATTGGGGAACAAAAAATTCTGGAGAAAATCCCATCTAATGAGGATTAAGGGGGGCAGCATCCCAAGGTCAGGGGCGACAATTGAGTCTTCAGGGTAGTGGCCAGACACGCCTCCGCACGGACAAGCCCTTGGACCTGAGAAGGGTGGGGAAAGCTCTGGACCCAAGATGTGCCTAAGCGCCTCTCACCCAGCCAGGGAGGTAACTCAAATCACGTGCCAGGATGGCCTCCCACATATGGGTGCAAATCTCCCTGGGTAACGGGCTGCTTCAGTTAGAAATGTGTGAGGGTCAGATTCAGCAGGAGGGGACACAGCCTCAGTGTGCCTAGGGATGTCCTGTTAGCTGGATGATCATCACGGATGATGGACTGTAGGCACAAGACAGGGGTAAGAAAAGACCCATTTCAGTGGCCTCACAGCAGAGGAAGTGAGGGTGCGTTCAGATTAGGAACAGGCATGTCCTCGAGGAGGGAATCTGAAGGTGACGGTGTGGGTGGGGGGAGGTGGGAGCAGGAGCCACACTCTGCCCTTCCCTGGTCCTTCCGAGCAGCTGAGGCAGGAAGATCAAGAGTTCAAAGCCAGCCTCAGCAACTTAGCAATGCCCTAAGCACCTCACCAGACCCTGTCTCTAAATAAAATATAAGAAAGGGCTGGGGATGTGGCTCAGTGGTTAAGCACCCCTGGGTTCAATTCCTGGTACCAAGAAAAATAAAAATAAAAATGAGGAGCATTTCTTCTATGGAAGCCAACAGAACCAACCAAAGGGACATGAACCCTGGGGGAAACGTGGTGCCGTGTTGAAGGGCTTGACTCTCAGAGGCGCCCTCCTTTCTGGCTGTTTTCTGTATAAAGGGAGTGTTTCCAATGTGTGGTTCTGTGGCCCCACTTCGCTGTCCACCACACTGGTCTCCCACACTCGGGAGAACTCCAATGCTTGAGCTAGCGCTTGGGCAGCTTGTACCCAGCAGAGCTGAGGGGTCAGCACTCGTGAGCACCCAAGGGTGTAAAACCCTCCCCAAAGCAGAGTCATCTCCAACCTGAGCCGGGCTGGGCAGTCTGGCCCCAGCCTTCTTCCCCCACCCACTGCAGATCGTAAGCCCCAGGCCAAATGGGACTGTGGACTCCAGGCCCTGTGGGTTTCGCAGGTGCACGTGTAAACTGCCCCCTGGAGCCACCAGTCCTGTCCCCCACCCATGTCATGAGCTCCTCATCCGTGTCCCACTCGGCAGCCTTGCGGGCTGGCTCGTACCGTCTGGTGTCTTTCTCTGCCTCTCTGGGGAGAAGGGCAATGGGGGCCTGACTGCCTGACAGCCTGCTGGTGGGCTGGCAGAGACGCCAAAGAACCTCTTCACCTGCTCAGCGGGCCTCCACTCCTGGGGACAATGACATCTGTAACTGTCACACATTGGGGACAACGGAACAGATGTGCTTCTGCTTCTGCCTCACCCTCAGCAAGGGCAGCCCCAGGCCCAGGTCCCTGGCTGGACAGAGGCAGCCATGCTCTGGCTGGTCCAGGGTCTCCTCACCAGGTGGGATGGGTAGGGGCCTGAGAGGGACACAGGTGGACAGGCTCTGGGCAGACTCTCCCTGAAGGCAGGGGAGGTGTGAAATGAAGATGGCAGCAAAGCAAACACTCAGAAAATGAGGGATGAGAGAGAAACACAGGGCAGAAGCCTGACTCTGACTTGTTCCTTCTCCTGAGAGGGACATTGTCAACACAGGGCGTGTGGCAATGATGTCCAGCCAGCTGGGGTTTGACTCTTAAGAGCAAACAGAGAGGGAGCTCCCTGTGGCTCCGGGGGGACCAGGACATGCCCACCCTCCAGAGCTGGTGCCCACTTTCCACCCAGGAAGGTCAGAGCCTGTCGGACCACAAGACACACGCCCTGCTGTCCAGGAAGCCATGATGAACCTGTCCACCCCGGGCCTGGGGACTCCACATGTGTCCCTTCAGCAAGCAGCAGGCTTGGCACAGGGCAGGGTGTGGCCATTAGGCCTGTGCTCAGGACTCCAAGGGCCAATGAGGAAATGTGAGCATCCTGATCAGAACACACAGGAGGACCTACTGGATCCTGAAGCTGACCCCAAGTGCAGAAATGGAGCAGAAAGTAGGTCTGTCCTGCTCACGATCAGGACAGCAGCCTTTGCCAACACACGGCAGTTCCTGTTCTCTTTATTGAACGTTGTTCAGTAATGGGTAGGTGCAGAAATCGTTCATCAGGAGAGGTGACCTTGATTTCCCTCGGTGGGCATGTGGGTGTGTGGGTGCTGACCTCAGCTGGACAGCCACCTCTCCTCTGACTGGATGACATCCTGCCTGTTTTGGTCACCATCCTCACAGCACTAGGAACTAGGAGCTATGGTATATTTGGGGCACCATCCTAAGTGTTTTAAATATTTCATCTCATTCAATTTATTCACTAACCCTCTGGCAAATCTGGTCACTCAGGACACTGGAAACACTGCTAGTGGTGTAAACCGATGGGGACGTGGTACTGGGAACTACCTGCTGTCAGGGCTGAAAAGAAAAATGGAGAAAGGCCACCGCAAATTTTCAGGTTCCCCCTCGTGGCTTAGAGATTCCGGAACTCACTGCTCCTGCCCATACTAGGAGACCGCAGGAGACTGTAGCAGTGGTCAGAGATGACCTTCAGCAGAGGGTTGGGATGCAGGAAGAGCACCTCGGGCCACCCAGGGCCTCATGTGCCTGGGGGCACTGTTTGGATCCTACTTCCCACCCCCAGGGAAGTAATGTGGTTCAGCCACCCTGTCCAGCACTCTCGTGAGAGCACACTGTTCCTCCAGGAGTCGGAGCCTGGGAGTGGAGCGATACGGGAAAGATATTATAAGGGACTGGGATGAGGGCAGGGGACAGATACCATCAGTCACAGTCTTGCTCCCATTTATGGCTGATTATGGAAGAAACTGCCCAGAAGCCAACGGCAGAGCCCTGGCATGGACCCAGGCCGGCCTGACTAGAAGTGCACCACACACACCCCCCCGCCCCATGCAGTGTCCCCGGCTGCAGTTGACCTGGTCATTTCCAGAGAGTACATGTGCCTTCCAGAAACCAAGTCTGAAACTATTAAAAGATTTTTAAAAACTGGCTCTGAAGTCAATTTCAAAAGGGAGCTTCAAAAACGTTTTGCAGTGCGTCCCTGGGGAGGCCTGGCTCCAGGTCAGAGGCTCCAAGTGGTGGGACTTGCAGAGGCTCCGTTTCTGCTCAAATGTAGCATAAACCACTCCTGCACCTCCACAGGTCCAAGCTCGACACAGGTCCTGTCCAGCCCTGGTGTGAGGTGGGTCTTGCTCATGGGAGGCTCTGAAGTCCTAGAGCCGGGGGCAGTACGCAGAGTCTGGTGGGATAAATATTCAGAAAAAGGAAAAAACCCATGACAGTAACTTTTGAAGAAGGAATAACAGGAGGAGAAGGAGACAAACCATTCAGAGAACAAGCATAATAATCGCAAATTTGAGAAGTAAAATGCATTTTCACAGGGACACACAGGAAAAAGAAACATGTGAGCCAGGACAAGGTTAGAAGGAGAGATTCCTCTTACACTGGAAAAACATACTTCGGGGGCTGAAAATAAGTTTCTTCAGACCCACTTGGATATCAGTAACCTAATCAGTGTCAAATATAACTATATTCCAAACCTGAATCAGGGGGAAATATAGCTAAACAGGCTCCCATCTGCAAAACTCAATAATTCACACACTGTATGCTCAAAGTCCCAGCTGCAACTGTCCGTGTAAACCCTGACATGCTCTTGGACAGGAAGAGCTGTTGTCTCTGGGATCTGGGTGGAGACCACTGTGAGGGTCAGCTCGCTGTTGCTGGAACGAACACCTGAGATACTCACAGAGAGAAAAGCCTCACCTGGCTTGCAGTCTTGGGGCTCAGTCCATGGCTGATGGCCCCATTGCTCTGGGATTTGGAGGCTTATCACAGTGGGAACACACGGGAAGCAAAACCGCCCACCTTGTGACCAGGGATCAAGAGAGGAGAAAGGGTCCCAGGTCCAACCAGTCCTTCTGGAGGGCCGGTCACAGAGAGGACCTGCCCCCAATGGCCCCTGCCAGGTTCCATCTCTTCAAGGTTCTACCAACACCGGCTTTTGGGGACCTCCCCAGTCCCAACTACAGCAGTCGCCTCCGGACATGTGGCCATGGCAACATCGTGATATGGAGGACACGTCTTCCTTACTGTCCCTTCATATGTCCGTCATGTCCTGTGACTCTGCCTGTGTGTGTGTGTGTGAGCTGGAGTTAGGGATATAACCAGAGGGAGGGACAGTAGGGGGATGTCACCCTGGATGCTAAGTGTGGCTATAAGGAGCCCAAGGGAGAAGAAAAGCAGGAAGCTACACTTTTTGGTGGGGTGCCTAGGTGGTCTGCCCCTGCATTAGCGAGAGCCACTCTCCTCTATCTTAAAGGTACCACCCACCCTTGAAAAATTCCATGCCCCCCCCCAGGGGATGCTGCTCCCTCCTCTGGGGTAATAATCCCCTCTGCTCTCGCTTTCTGAATCCAGTGATGATGCCCCAGGGGAGGTCCAGCGTGCAATCAGGAATGCAGGGCCTTCCTCAGGCTGAGTGTGATCCCTCTGCCCCCATGGGGTAGGTTGCTTGGACTACCTCACTCTTCCTGGGACCTCCAGTGGATGTGTGCAGGACCTACCTGCAGGCTT